TTATATGTATTTAGTTTCAAGAATCTTAATAAAGTACTAGCGTAACTGCTTAAGGTTAAAAAAAAAAAAAAAAAAAATAACTATTATTAATAATAATATAATAATAAAATAACTAATACTAAATAATAATAATAAAATAATAATAATTTATTTTATAATAATATATTATAAAATTAAAGTTAATTAGTAGAATTTTGAAATCTTTATAGTTTTTGTCTAAAGTAACTATAGTTTAGCTACTTTACTTAACTTAAAAAACATCTAGATCAAAAAAATATAGTTTGATAATAATACAGTAATGTTAAATATTTTGTATAACTATTTTATTATAATATTTGTATTAATATAAAATAATCTTTAAAAAAAAATTAAATAATAGTTTTTAGATAAAATTTTTTAATTTAAAAGACTTAAAAATAAGTTAAAGAGAATTTGAAAAATAAAAAACCTTTAAAAAACCAAATTGGATATTTAAAAAATTTTAATGAATTTTAAAAAAATAAATTTTTTAATAAAAATTTTACAATAACAAGTTTTAGATTTTGTTTTTTAGTTAATATTTTAATGAGATTTGGATTGTTTGTAATAATTTATATATCAAAATAACTGTTTATAGAAGTTAGGCAATTTTTTATTAAATGTTAATATATTATTACTTAGTAAATTATTTTTTAAAAAAAAACTAAAATTAAAAGTTTAGTTTTTAAAACCTTTTTTAGTACTTAGATATTACTAAAATCTAAAACTTATTTGTTTATAAAAAAAGTAAGCTAAACAACTTTACTTAAAAGTACAAGTAAAGTTTATTTAATAAAATATTAAGAAATAATTAAATTTTTTTAGTAAAAATTTAATACAAATGCTCTATAAAGAGAGTTATAAAATTGTTTTTTTATATTTATTTTTTTAAAAAAAATAACTTTGATATTTGTATTTATTTATTATAACAAAGAAATTTTGATATCTAAACAAAAAATACAAAGCAAATTTTTATCAAATATTTATTTATATATAAAATAGTATACAAATAATTAAATAAATTCTAATTTAGCTAAATATGTTAATGCAGGTCAGATATTATATTAATGCTAATTAAATGATATAATAATTTTGGCTAATAATTTTATTTTAGAATTATATTAAAAATTTTATACAAGCTTTAAAAAAATTCCATGTATACTCATTTCTAGTTATAGATAAAACAATCTAAATTTTAATTTTATTAAATTAATATATTATTATATATAAATTATTAATGTACTATATGAGAATGCCTATAGCAAAAGGGAGAGATGGGACTATATAATATATAGTTCTATCACCCTTTTGCTGTGGGCATTCCCATATATGTTAAATTTTAATAAAAAAACTAAATCAAAATTTTATTTTTTTTAAAAAAATAAAATTATTTCTACTGTTTTAAATTTATTATTAAAAAACAATTATAATATTTGTTATCAAATTTTACTTTATCTTAATTAATAAATATATTACAAAATTTGGATTTTTTATTATATTTCAAAATTAACAATTTATTTTTATCTTTAATTCACTTTCTAATTCTAACTTACACTTGCTTCAACCTCTTTCTTCTAATTATATTAGCTTCAAAATCAATTCCTAATATATATGTCATATGTCAGATTCGAAGGAGCATCGATTTGAAATCAAGTTGTGTTAGATCAAAATTTTAATTCAAGATGTATCAAATTAGTTTATTATTCATGCATTAGACCCAAATATGTATAACAAATATAATAAAATATATAATAATAAAATTATTATATTTTAACTCTTTTTCTTGCAATAAATATGTATTTTGTATTGAATTAAACTATTATGAAGTATTTATTTATTTTACATCAAATCTTCGATAACCTGGTTAAACAATATATTGAAAGTTTAGCATTAAATAAGAAAGAAAAGGCACTAATCGATCAAGAAAAACTACAAAAAATTAAAAAAATTTTTCTTGACTCTACGAATACTACATTGTATACATCTACTTTTCATTACTGAGTCAAAAATAAATTTAAGTTACAACAAATCAGTAATTTTTATATTGTACTTTATATTCGAACACAAAATACAAAAAATAATAAAAAAATCATGATTAAACTTCCTATATTAGCTATAAAAAATATGTATAATGAGTTTTGTAAAATACATACAACAGTTACTCAACACGCTAGTCAAAAGAAAACATGGAGTCAAATTAGCAGTAAATGAGGATATTGTCAACAAGATCTTGTAGAAAAATTTGTAGCACAATGTAATGTTTGTGCAACAAGACTAACAAGGGTTCAACCATTGGCTGGCATTCCAATTATTGAACAAAAATTCATATTACGATTACAAGTAAATTTATTATTATTTAATTATTATTCTTTAATTATTATTATTATTTAATTACTAATTATTATATATTATTTATATAATCATCATTATTATAATAAATTTTTATTTGAAATAGATTGATTTAGTTGATATGACTTTTAAACATGATGATCAATTTAAATATATTGCTCACGTGCATAATCATTTTACAAAATATTCCTAGGCACATGTACTTACCTCCAAGCAAACAATAGAAGTAGCAGTTTTTCTGTTTGAGATCTTTACAACATTCAGTCTATCACTAATTCTTCAATCTGATAATGAGCGAGAGTTTGTTTCTTTAGTAATTATTGAATTGGTTTGTTTATGACCTATAATTCAAATTATTAATGGCAAACCAAGATATCCTACAAGTCAAGGCTTAGTAGAGTAAACAAATAGTGTTCTTGAAATAAAACTAGGAAAATGGATAAAGGACAATAACTACCAAGATTGGTTATTCAGATTGAGATTTATCATTTATGCTATGAATAACTCTATTTGCAGAGCACATAATAAAAGGTCCTATGAACTTGTGTTTGGTGAAACTTCATATGGGCATTCTGCAGCACTTGATTGCTTGTTTGAAACAAGTATTCCTTCTGAGGATGAAATTCTAAATGAATTTGGATTAATGTTAGAAAATATTCAAGAACCAGTTAGTGATTTAGATGATTTTATTGACAAGACTAGTACTAATATCATATTCTTAACAGAAATTGAGTTTTTAAATAGATCAATAAGTTTAAATCAAAATTTAAATCCAGATAATGAAAACCAAGAAACAGTAAGTTATTATAAATTTTATTAATATGTTATTTATTGTTTGTTTACATGTGAACAGGTATTATATTAAAATTAATTTGTATCAATTTTTTTTCTACATATAGTCACTATCTTTACAAGATATATCAAATTAACCCTTAACAGGACATCAAGTTTTACAAGATTTTGCTTGTCAAAATTTAGAAAATTATATAGCCAAAATGACATCTGCAATGATTACAAGATCAAAACATAGATTAGAATATGATGTTGGGGAATATATAAAGATTCTCATCCCTAAAATTAATCAATTTGGTACAGATCGACCAATTCTTCCATGTAAAGTTTTAGAAAAGTTAAGCTATAATGATACATTTAAATATCGTCTTGGGTGCAAAGATGGTATATTGAATACTTTATATTGTGCAGGTGAGATAGAACCATTAGGTGTAAAAGAATATCCTGAGTTGGATTATATTCCATCAAATCATGTATCTGTAAGAGAAGCAACATGAAGCCAGAATACTGGCATACTTATGGGAACAATGTGCAAGTGTAAAAGCAACTGTAATACTAATAAATGTCGTTGCAAAAAATCCAATGTTAGGTGTGAAAGTAAATGCCATGGTGGGAATATGTGCAATAACAAAATTCAAGTTTAATATATGTATAAATAATTTATACGATTAGAATTATTTGCTATTTTCTGCTTGATGTATAAATTATGATTTTAATTTGACGCAAGTTAGAAAATTTAATTTTACGCATCTCAAATTTGAATTTCGATCTGATGCAACTCAGTTTTAAACCCACACCTATTATAATTTGATGCACAACATATACAATGAATCAAATACCAAACTAATCTCTTATATATAATTACTAACATCCAAATCTAGATGAGCCTTGATTACTTTAATTGGTTTAGATCGCAAATAAATTAGTCTGAACTTCTACTCTTTTTAAAATATTTTAAAACCAAATTTGTACTTTATGTAAAAATTTCAATTGAATTTTCAATAAAAATAGAAGCATGACCAACCATTAGTATTAAAAAAAACAATACGTTTATATTAAAAATCTGTCTTAATTAACAAAATATGATTATTTTCAAATAACATACAACATTATAAGCCTAATGTTTGATATTTTACACATCAATATGCTCTTTTCTATTATCTAACATATGAGTTTTTTCTTAAATACTTTATATATATTATAGACAAAAATTTGTTGAAAATGAACAAACAACGTATGTACGTACATATAGTAAATGAAAATGTTAGGTACAGTATATACAGTACATACAAAGTGATTTTTAATTTTGTTACCATATTTATATTTTGATTACCATACAAAAGGATCGACATATTTATGAATTACAGGTTTTGCCATCTAAATAAAATTTAAATCTATATACATATCGATTAAGTATAAATCTACAAATTACGAATTTTGATTTTTTTAAATCTATAAATTGCAGGTTTTGCCGAATTGATTGTTTAAATATAATTCATATATTATTGAATTTTTTCGATCTGTTAAAATCATAGCGATGAATAATTATACATTATATATCGATGAATGTATTTGAATTTTGCAGTTCATTTAATGTTTTAATAACTAAAGGCATTTCTGGGCGAATACAGGGATTTTTATTCCAACATTTCTTGTATAATTCAACATATTGGAAGGGTGTGTTTTTTACTGGAATTTCTCTAAATCCATCTAACATTTGCATCTGCCAAAAAATTTCAGTCGGTGTAAATTGTTTGAATGGTGGTTGACCACTTGAGATCTCCCAAAGAATAACTCCAAGACTGTAGATGTCGGATTTTTTATCATATTTTGAGTCTTTTAAACACCGGGGATCTACATATGCTGGCATCCCTTTAATGTCTGAGCATAATGGTATTGAAGTTTCATTAATCTGCCTCGACATACCAAAATCTGTAATCTTAATTTGCTTGTTATAGACGAGAATGTTTTTGGAGTGCTATCAACAAAAAGAAAGGTTAATTGGTAATTTAAATAACCAAAATTATACGCGGAAATAGATATATGCTTACAAAGTCGCCGTGAACTATATTTTTAGTATGTAAAAACCAAAGTCCTTGTGCAGTTTCCTCAGCCATGCGAAATTTATCAATCCATCGTAGATCTTTGAAATTTTCTCTTAAATAATCCCGTAAGTCTTCATCAATATATTGTAAAACCATAAAATAATGTTCTTTTGAAGGTTCTATTTTTTTGTGATAATTTAACAGTAGAGTTAGTAATGTCTCAATGATTGGCTAGTGATCGATATCGTGCACAAGCATCTGATTAATTGAAGTGATTCTCATGTTAGCCAACCAACGCTGCTTTTTTTCATGGCGATACTGACTGATGAATTTTACGTAGACCAATTTAAAATGTGTGCATATGATGCGAATAATTGTTCAACACGTGATTTTCAACTCTTTACAAGATTTTTCCGGCACGTGATCATGGCCAATTAGATTGAAGGAGCAGGTGTAACGTGAAAATCACGTCTTTTTAAAAAATCGCTATTAACTCTATGAAACTGCCTTCTGCATTCTAATAAAAAAAATTCCTCGTGAAATTTTAGTGTAAGCTATGACCTTTCTTATCCTTAATCCTAACTCGCTTAATTCGATTGTTTTGATTTTACGTTACACCTGATCCTTCGATCTAATTGGCCGAAAATCACGTGCCGGAAAAAATCTTGCTACTAATGTCCTCTCTACGTATTTTGGCAAGGATCGAAATTTGAATAGTAAAAGTAATACGTTGTGTGTAAAATTTAGGAAAATAACCAGTAACTATGTACCTTTCGCAACTCCATAGAAGGTAATTATGTTAGGGTGGCCCTGAACATTTCGTAAAATTTCAACCTTAAATAATCGATCGCATATTAATGATAAGATATAATTAGAGAAGATAAAAGATTTTCACCTATTGATATTTATTCAAAATATATCACCTATAGATTCAATAAATCAAAATTTCATTCACCTCATTGTTGAAATTCTGATTTTGTGTATTATCTCTTAGGCGTTTGAGGACTTTTGTGATTTTGCAACATTTACACTCTGATTTATAAATTACACCTGAACTACCACTATTAATTTCTATAACTTTATTAAAATCAATACAACGATACAGCTTATGATTAACGATTCTGGTCGAGAAAGTTTTCATAATTTCATTTGGATCGATAAATAGTGATAAAGAAAATATGTATTGAATTGAGGTGAATAAAAAGGCAAGAATACTTTCTTTGATCCATTTAAATAGTTATTTTGAAGAATACCCCAAAAATCTAAAATCCTAAGTGTTAATAAAAGACGATAAATAATTTGGTGATCGACACTAAATTCGGAAATCGATAAATTCCGAAATCACCCTTGTGCCAGGTTTTGTCGATCATTGTCCTGATCCACAAATCAGATCTCAAGAATCAGGTGTAATGTAACACGATCAGAACAAATGTTGTTATCTCTCGTGTAACCGTTAGGGTTTCTAAATTGGGTCGAAAGAGGCGTGTTAGATTTGTCGAGTAATCATGTATTATATGTGTTATATATTGGTTGTCACGGGGGAGATATCCTTCCCAAAGGGCCTTTTCGGCCTTTATTTATGATTAAAATCTTCTATGTACATTATGCGATGGACACGACTGATATCACTAATACTATTAATCAGTCGTATCCTACTGATATTTCCCTTCCACTCGATCGCTGCTATCCGCCACATTCGACGTATGCGTCACATGCGACTGATCGGTCGCATGCGACGGATGCGATCGACTCCTTCCCTGGGTCCATTCGGGTCCCACAACGTTCGTTTTGTTAAAAATCGCCCATTTCTCAAAAATCACTATAAAAAACCACTTTTAGAGTACCGTATTTCGCGGTCTAAAGTACCCCCCTAGTATGAATTTTTATCGGCTCATCATGATGCATATCGGGTTTTATTTTGTGTAACCATTACAAATTTAAAGTAAAAAAAATTGTGAATGGTACATTATGCACCCGATATGTACCATGAAAATATCCGCATGAGCCGATAAAAATTCATACTAGGGGGTACTTTAGACCGCGAAATACGGTAATTTTACTATATTACTTTCTAATCTCTAACTTTATACTAAGCGCTAATACTAACGTTAATGAATTTTAAGAATTTTTACTATATTACGGTGATCGACAAAACCTGGCACAGATTTTTTGAGTGCATTCCGAAAAGGTTGTTTCACGAACTATTTATATGGGAATTAAAAATCTGATATATGATTGTAGTTTAAAAAACCGATAATAATAAGTTATTGCGCTTTGCAAAAAGATGACCCCACGATTTTCGTGATAACAATAGTGGAGAATTTCGAAAATTCTGATTTTCTATCAATTAAATATTTCTCTAAAAATTATCCAATTTCCCGTTACACGATGATCTGCAGATGTCACACCTTTTTGCAAAGCGCAATAAACTTAAGGTACCCATGTTGATTAGTAAAATTTCTTCGTTTTGGGTGTTTTTAGCGAAAGATCTTTTCTAATTGTTTTCAATCGCTTTCCCCAAAGAGTCTTCATAAGAATAAAAGTAAACGTTCAGTAAGTAGCAGAGTTTATTGAGTTTCTACTACATTTAAATAGTTAAGCTGAACCTTAGATTTATAAATTGTTAAACGAAAATGTTATACTAATATAATATTATACAAATAAGCCAAGCAATATAAAGCGTTTAACTACTCGAACCAAGAGCATATATATGTATTATTTATCAAACAGATAAGAAGACCAAGTAAGATCTTTAATATACATATAGTAAATATAGTGATACGGTCTAATTAGTAGTATAGTCCAAGAGTGGTAACGTATAATAACGAGTTTTTTGTAAAGTATAATAGTTTAAGAGATGGATTAGAGTTGATTTAGCTTGAAAAAAACTTCGCGATTGTTAATAATAAATTTGTTTCGTTTTATTTCGTATATTGAAAGAATTTTCAATTTGATTTGATTGGTCAATAGTCACGCATAGATCTACATAAATTAGCCAATCGCATAAATGTTATAACCTGTCAAAATGCGAGTTTCTTCTATGCTCGTTTTGACAAAAAACCTGCTTTATCCCAAGAATTCACATAAGAAACCGCTCTTTACGTTCCAATAAAAATTTTCCTTGACTAATTTTACTATATGTTTCAATTTCCAAACCCTAAATCTAACACTAACTTTAACCTTACCAAATTTAAGCAATTCGAAATTATTTTGTTCATTTCACGTGACCCGAAATTTTCTTGGTCGCCCTGGTGGATTCCTCGAGCATGTCGGCTGACTGCTAATACAATAAAAGAAACTCGTACATTTCCACTGCAGGACGTAAATGTCCTTTGTGATTAGAAACCTATTATTTCAAAACAACGCTTAACGCTTATGTTGTATTCGAGCAGATGTTCATTAATTCGAGAATTTACGATAAAAATAAAAAAACACCAAAGTCAATATTAATCTTGAATTTACCTTGGAATATAGTAATGACACAATTAAATGTAAAAAAGAAGCTTATCTTCTGTCAAGAGTTTAAAAATAAGTATTTTTTCAACCTTCAACCTATAAAAATTTCTTTTCATTCTTTATTTTATAGACAAAGGTTCACGCACAAAAAAAAAGAACTTTGCAATTGGGGGACCAGGACCATATCATTCTCATTTTTCTTTTGTTTACCCAATATATAATATCGATTTTATCGATCAAAATACTTATCGGGTGGTTACGTTTTCGATAGATCTTACGAACCAATCTTAGTATTTGAAATCAAATCCAATATACAGCGTATCATGTACCAGTAAATGAAATAAAACTTATCAGCTATTTTGTTAAATATTTGATTCTCCTAAATTGAGTCAATAAAATAAATATTTAACAATTCTATTCATATAGAACTTTGATTTGAAAAATAAACTCTTAGTTATGTTCTTTTTTATACCAATTTCTGTATTCTTCAACCGTTATAATCAATTTTCTCACAACAGCAAATATATTATTCTCAAAAAACAATTTAGTATTATCGTATGCATTAAACTTTTATTTAGTTAAATGCATATGCTTTATTTATTTTTTACATGGCTTTGTCTTTTAATTACAAATTTTATAAGTCTTTATAAAAGAGTTTTTAAAAAATGTCCTTACAGGTAATTATATATATTTTATAAGACATTAATCTAATAATAATTTGTTTTTTTTAAGAAAAAACTTCTTATAAGTAATTATATATCTCTTCTAAACATTAATCTAGTAATAAAAATTGAATTGTTATCACGCATTAAAACTATAATATTGAAAAATGTTGCTCATAAATTTTGGTCCATGTTCGGTTATATCCAATTTCCTTCCATGTACTCTATCAGGTCTTACTGTACTTCTTTGAATTTCACGAGAGTAATACCATCTTCTACTGTAATTTACATTAATCTTCCATCCATCAACTGCATAAAGTTTTTTAAGTAATGATTCACTCATTCGATTGTATGAATAGGATGATTACTCTTTTTTATGCTGTCTAACTAGAGATGGGTTTCATGCGCATTTTATCCCATCAAGATTTCTCTCCTCTCGAATGTTTTTTCTTTTTTTTGCCTTTTTTTATCATGCGATGTCATGCGCATGAAACATTTCGTGCGCATTAATGCGCATTCATGCGCATTTTCCCCATCACTATGTCTAACAGACAGTTCGTGTTTAAAGGATTAAAACATGGGACTGAGGTAAGATCAAGATATTATAAATTTGGTAAGGCTGTTAAAAGATCTTTAATAAGATTTAAATTGGTAATTTGTGCGTTTGAACAGAAACTCTTAACCGTTATGGTGGTAGAAATACCAATACAGTTAGTTATTAAAGAATATGATTTAATTACTATACTTCGTTCACCTAGTGCAAAGAATTTCCAAACATTTGATATTGGATCATCGCAGATGACACCATTAATTTTAACAACCATCAAAGAATTTTGCATTTAGCCAATAATCAATGTGATAACTTTGCTGGAATATTTGTTTCGGCTAAGAAACTTAATGTTAAATCGCTGATAGAACAACCATCCAAATCGAGATGCGTAAGATTTAGAGAATGAGCGAGAAGAGGTATAATTGTTGAGTATTCAGAAATTACTGGACACTCATGAAATGAAAATCTTTGTAAATGAGATAATAAAGGTTTGCAAGTCATACGAAAAGAAATTGATGTCTCATCATCTTCATTGCAATATTGTTCTATTTTAACGCGACAAATTAGGTAGAGAATTCGGTTAAAGTGTTACTGAATCGTTTACTAGAACATCGTCAAAAATCGACGGTTTTTATGCTTTTACATTCTAAAAATAAGACCTTTGAAACATCAAGGGTAATTACATATTCAAAGATTCAGATATGGAAAAAGCTTTTGATTCGGGAAAAGATCTTATAATATGAATTAAAAGTTAGGAGTGACGACCTTTTGAGTTTCAAAAGACTTTTTTGCAGGCCACAGGTAAAGAAGCCGGAAAAATCTAAATGGTGAACCATTTGAGAACAACGCTTTTTAATGTCATTGGTGACATTAACGAAAAGTGTAAACGTATGAGGAAAAGTAAACGCGATGGTTTGATATAGGATTGGAGTAGCGTGAAGGTTAACAGTATGATTAACTAAAGCACAAGCAGCTAGGGTTTTTTTTATCATCCTTTAATAAACCTTGAATAATGCGAATAATTTCGGGAGGAATATAAGGGACTGATGCATTTTTTTTCACTGGAACAACTTGTGAGAGGATATACGAACAATTGAGACCAGAAATTAATAGTGGTAGTTCTGAAGTGATTTATAAATATGAATCTAATGTTGCAAAATCACGAAAGCCCTCAAACGCCTAAGGGATAGTACAAAATCAAATTTTAATAGCGAGGTAAACGAAAATTTTATTTATGATATCTAGGGGAGTTTACTGTATCATCGTGAAATAATGCCCTAGGTACATTCCTTGTTCCGCCGAACACAATTTGTGCACCTATCTCCTCCTGAACATTTCTTTTTCTTACACTCAGTTACACAAAATATTTCACTTTACGTAAAATTGAGGTATATGTAAATGCTTTTTAGCCAATCAGAATACGTTATATACTGATTCTGATTGGATAAAACCAATCAACAAAAAAATTTTTTTAAATTGTTTATCCCTTAAACTGTTTTCCAGGCAAATTTGCCTGGAAATTTCATGATTGATCTGTGATTAAGCTATCAAATTATATTGAATTGTAGTCTAAATCGTAGTAGATACGTAGTTAAATTGACAGTTTAAGGGATATTAAATTTCTAAATTTTGAAACATAATAGCTTAATTTTAAATCTTATCCTTTTTTAAAAGATTCTAACCGATAATTTGTATAGAACTAATGAAAATCAATAGTTTTGTCTGTTACATTTTTAAAACTTGAAATTTTTATAGATTTATACAAGTTCTAAAAAAATATTTAATAACTTTGTAAAGTTATATAAACTCTATCTACTAGCAAAATATCTTTTTGAAATCTTTTCTGTGCAACGAATTATTGTAATTTATAAGTCACAATTTGATAGTTAAATTTATATAGTAGTTGACTTTAAAACGCATCAACTTATCGTAGAAGCAAAATTTAAAAAATTTAATGTTTTACAAAGTTACCAATCAGTTTTTTAAATTTTTTGTTTCTATGATGAGTTAATGCGTTTTAAAGTCAAAATCTATATAAATTCATGACTTTTAAATCGCAATGGCTCGTTACACAGACAATATTTTGACAGTAAATAGAGTTCATATAGCTCTACAAAACTACTAAATATTTTTATAGAACTTTTGTATTAAAAGTTAAGCAATTTAAAGATTAAAGCATTCCGTGTAACCATTGAGTATAAATTTACAGTACCATACGTATAAGTAACCGCTTATTGAATTTGGCTAGTAACATTGACAAAAAATAAATGCCAAAATACATAGTGGCTCTTGATATAACACAGGCCATGCTTCGTTATATCAAAAGCTCCATTATATCAAAATCTCATAATATATCAAATATTATAGTAAATCATAATCCAGCTCCATTATAATTCCCGTATTAAACAATATCCGTTATATCGAGAGCCACTGTATATATCAACAATTTTTTGGCGCATTATAGTGTCAACTTTTTCTATAATGAACTGATAGTTCTGGAAGAAAAAAAAGTTCGTTATAGAAAGTTATCCTATATTACCGATTAAAAGCAACCCTCAGATTTTGGAGCCAAAAAATGACTACGGTTATTATGTTCTACTAATAAAATTGTACTCGAATAAAAGCAACTCCTTCACTTCGGCTCGAAAACAATTTCATTTTTTTTTTGCAACATTTTGATTGCTGTTCATTTCATTGACAATCAATCACCGATAGCACGATTCACCGACTAGGAATGGCAACGGTCGGTCATTTTCGACTATCTGGTGATCCTATGATCCAAATTGGATCGCGAGATACAGCTAACGGCTACAAAACGGCTAACCGAAAATGACCGACCGTTGCCATCCCTATCACCGACAAAGTAATTCCGGTCATTGTTGGTGAAACGTACTGTCGGAAATGAACCGGATCCGTTTTCTTAAAGTCCATTGCACTTTCTATACTGAGCTATTATAAAATTTTAAAATTTTCACTATATCCAGAGTTCGTTATACAGTATAGAGAGATTCATTATATCCAGAATCGACTGTACTTACTTTTCGCTTCTATAAGTTTTGAGTTATATTTTATCAAGTTCGAATTATTATTAATGGTATGTATAATGCAGACGACTCTGGATATAGAGAACTTAAAATTTTAAATATTTATAATACTTCGGTATAAAAAGTGCAATGACCCTTAAAAAAATAAAGTAACTTTCTATAATGAATTTTTTTTCTTCCAGAACCATCAGTTCATTATAGAAAAAGTTGACTGTACAAAGAATCTAGTATAAGAAAAAAAATTTAATATATTTTAAGAAATATTCTCAGAAAGAATGTTTTCAATTGCAATAGAAGACATTTTATCTGAGTTAAGACAAAAACGTATGAAAAACAAATAAAGTAAATTTGCTTCTACATTTATCTTTAAAAAAGAAACGCGTTGTTATTGTTGATTAAAAATTAGGTAAATGAACGTGATAGGGTTAGGGCACAGGGGTCCGTTAAAGCCAGGTACATTCATATAATGATCTACATACTGCATAAAATGTATTTTTGATATCTATATAACTCGCTAACCCTAACTGCATCAAAAAAGTAACTCTAACTGGTACCTGGCTTCAACATTTCCCCAAATTTGGGGGTCGTCTAAAGCCATTACCCACGTGACTTTTTTGTGTAAATCAACCAACCGGAATTGCGAAATTTTGTTTCACCGAAGAAGTCAAAAAATAAAGAAACCGCAAAAAGACGAAAAACGACAGTCTTAACCTATCTTGGAACACTAATTAAAAATCTCGGGAAGGAAATTTTACTTATACTTCTCTTCTTATATCAACACCCAACTAACCCTAATCCTAACCTTAATTTTAATTTAAACGATTAAAACGTTAAAATCACGTGGGTACATGGCTTTAGCCATCCCCCAAATTTGGATATCGATTCTGGAACGTTCTACAGGAAATCCTCTAGCAACTAGTAACTGTATACATGAAACAGAGAACTCATAGTTTCATAATTCACCGGCAATTTCTCATCATGAAATATGCATCTTAAACAAAAATATATTGTAAACTAGGAACTGGAGTCTGGAGCATAAGTATCATATTTTGAATAATTCAAATAAAAAAATAATTTATTTTTAGATACAATTAATTTTATTTAATTAATTCATATAATATATGCTATATAGAAAAGCAAAATTTTACCAAGTAAATCGTTCAGAAAATCAAAATACATATTATTTGGAAATTTTTTGCAATTACGATAATTTTATTATTTGATATTTACTTTTTACAGTTATTAAATATAAATTTGGAAAAAAATTTTAATTGATTTTTTGAACATAAAATGCAAAAACATATTAGTAATTGGTTATTTTGATCTTCTGAACAACTTTACTTAATAGCATATAATCGATTTACATGTTGATAAAAACGTAGCGTTACAGGCGGAAAATGGCAAAACTACTTTTTTTTGATATTTTTAATATAAATGAATCAAATCCGAATTTTGGTTATTAAAGGACGTAGAAATATAAGTCTGTTGCTTCGCTCAAGACAATAAAACCAAAATTTTTTAATGAGAAAAAAAACAAGCCCGATTTAATTTATTAAAAATCACGTCGCGAAAAGAAAACTAGGTGTTAAACGCGTGAATAGGAATGATGTTCTTAAAATGTTATTGGCTGCTTATATTAGACATTTTTCAAGGATCTACAGTACAACCAATATCTTTAATTATAGCTTCCTGACATTGTTATCGTTATATTTCGTGCTCACATGATTGTTGAAAAGTATTACAGAATAATACCTTTAATAATATAATGTCTTCATTAGAAAGGATTCAAATATATGGAATTCGCTCTTTTAACCCATTCGGACCACAGGTTGTTAAGTTTCAGACACCTCTCACTATTATCGTTGGACCCAATGGATCTGGGAAAACAACTATAATAGAATGCTTAAAATACGCGACCACAGGCGACCTCCCACCAGGTGCTAAAATTGGTGGTGCTTTTATTCATGACCCAACACTTGTCGACGAGGCTGAGGTCAAGGGCCAAGTAAAGTTAGAATTTAACAGTGTTCTTGGGCATAAAATTACTTGCACTAGATCGATGCAAGCTAAGGTTACTTCAACTAATGCTATCAGAGCAACAACCATTGAGACATTATTGCAAGTAGTTGATCCTAAAAATTTACAAAAGGCCAGCCTTACAGGTCGTTGTGGAGATGTGGACCGTGATATCCCTATTCTTCTTGGAATATCGCGCGCAGTTCTGGATAATGTTATTTTTTGTCATCAAGAGGAATCAACATGGCCTTTATCTGAACCAACTCCTTTGAAAAAACGCTTCGATGAGATATTCTCTGCAACAAGATGGACTAAAGCGATAGCAAATATTACTGAATTACGAAAAAGAGAGGCGCAGAAACTTCGTGAAGATAAAATTTCTCTAGAACAGCTAAGGATTGAAAAAGAAAGAGCTGCTAAGATAGAAGAAAGATTGAATTCTGATCAAGCAAGAACAGAAGAATTACAACAAAAAATGGTTGTTCTTAATGAACAAAAGGATATAAATAGTCAAGAAATTAATGAATTAATAGAAACAATTCGTAAATTGGATGATATCAATTCAGATCTGATAATAAAAAATAAGGAAAGGACTGCAGTAGAGAAACAGATTGAAGAATTGTCAAGCACATTAAGAGAAATGCACGGTAAATCTAAGTTTTGGATCCATAAATTATCCGCTCCTTAATGTAGTTTATATAATTTTATCAATCTTATCGATTGTTTTAGAATCCGATAAAGAATTGGGAAGAATTAGACAAGAGTATACAAATAGAATTTATACTCAAGATACAGATCGAAAAAGCTTGGAAAAACAAAAGTCTTCTGTTGATCAAGAAATTTCGGCGATTCGCTCTTCTCTAAATACTTTGCATACTAATAGGGGGCAGCTTCAAGCAGAACAGAATGCTTATGATCAACTAGTTGAAAATCTTGAAAACCTGGTTCGAGAGATTAGTAGAAAATTCAATTTTAGGATATTTTTAACAGCTCCATTAACAGCACCGAACTTGCAGAGATTTAAGGATATGCTTCAAGCTGAGATTGATGAAAAGAATAATTCTCTTGCCAGGCAAAGGGTATGTTGGAAATTTTTTTTTTTTTATTGATTAATAACAACACGTAAAATAATATTCATGATTAGGATGTGAATGTTTAGGAACGAGCTCAACAAAAAGAGGCAGAGTTGATTGACAAACATAACAAGACACGTGCTGAAATTGATTCTAATAAGCATTCTAAACAAAATGTCAAATCCTCTATCGAAAAAAATCGAGTTACTAGAGATAAACTCACTTCAGAATTTAACAATCTTCGTGTTTCCGAAGCAGACATAACTGTCCTTGAAAATCGATTGTCAGAAGAAGAATCTGCTTTAAAAACCATAAAGCAAAATGTTGAAAGCGATGACATAAGTAAAAAGCTTCCATCCAAAAATGAAGAACTTCAAGTTATAGAAAATAAAATCAGCAGTTTAGATGATGAAATTTCACGACTTCATTATCAATCTAATTCACGAGCTAAGTTAGATTTGCAAAAATCCAATCTTCGTACGAAAACTGAATCATTAAATACCTTTTTGGCCTCATCACGAAATGATTTCAAGAATGTCCTGGGTAAGCAACCGGGCTTAGATACTCTAGAAAAAGATATGGATGATCTTCTTAGGAACAAAAAGGAAGAGCTTAAACAAGTTGAATCTGAGAGTGAAAAATATCGTCGTGAATTATCTACCATAGATGGAAAGCTGCAAATGTTGCAATCCACCCAACAACAAAGGCTTCAAGAAAACAAGGAGCATCGCAAAAAATTAAGTATGGCTTGTGGAGATCGGGATCTTCCTGACGTCACAATTGAACTTGAAAAGGAATTGAGCGATATGCGGGAAGAACTTGCTAATGTGTCAAGTTGCACTGATATTTATAATAAGTTTGTCATTTCGGCACAAAAACGTCACGATTGTCCATTATGTGATCGAAATTTCGAAGACAATGACGAATTTAAAAAGTTTTTGAAAAAGTTGAAAGACCTTGCCTCGGGCAATGCAACAGACAAATTTACTGACATAGAGCGTCAGATACGTGATACTGATGCAAAGCTTAAACGTCTTCGCGAACTTCGACCAGTGTGGGATGCTATAAATCGTTTTCAATCAGAGTTGTCTGACTTAGACAGACAAGTAGAAGACCTACAAAACAAAAAGACAGAAACTGATGCTATGTTGGAAGATATTTATGTCAATGTCGTTGGAATTCAAGTAGAAATCGATAATACTACAAAACTACGTAGAGATGTTGATAAAATTATGGGTTGGTACAGAGAAATAGAGAACCTGAAGTCAGACATTTTATATACTGAGGATGAATTAAGTAATGCAGGATCGACCAAAACAGTTGAGGATTGTACGAGTAAACGAGAAGCATTGCAAGATGAGGCGAAAAAAATAAGGAGAGATATTGTCAATCTTACCCAAATGAAAGAAGCACGACTAAAAGAATTAAACACACGATCAGAAAAAGTTGGCCGTTTGAAATTACAGTTACAAACACTGAAAAGTACACAAGAAAACTACAACCGTTTGCAAAAAGAGATTAATTTATTGAATGAAGAAACTAGAAAGCATGAAGATGCTGTTAAAATGCTGGATGCTAATATATCAGAATTAACTCCAAAAGCTAGAGAAGCTGAACTCGCATTAAATGAATTTCGGCAAAAGAAAGCTGAATCGGAAATGTATATGATTAATGAATTAACCGAAATTCAAAAATATTCCGAACGGTTCTTTAGTTTAGACCAAGAAATAGGGAAATTTACTCAAGGAAAAGGCAAGGAACGATTGGTCGAATGTAATGATCAAATTGAGAAATTAGATCAACAGATAACCACTAAAACCATTACAAGTGAGAATCTTGCAAAGCAGTTGCAAAATATGGATAAACAAGCATCTGAAGCGCGAGAAATTCAGAGGTCAATTGACGAAAATCTTAAATACAGAAGATTGCAGAGAGAAAAAGAAAGCCTTGATAATCAAATTGGCGAATTGAATCTGTTGAAGCAAAGTCAGGGATCGTCGAATTACAAGGTTCGATTGGACGAACTGCAAAAAATTCAAGAGACTGTGCTAGCTGATGTAAATTATTTGATTATTATTTATTCACCTTTGCACTATTGTTCTTTTTGACTTAGCTTTAATTGTTTTTGCAGTCTGCAAGGTATACTGGGGAGCTTAAACAATTAGAAGAGGCTATCAGAAGAGGACAAAACGAGCTTAACACGGAATATAAAGATATTAATGATAGATACACTGATCAGTTTATCATAGTTAAAGTAATTATGACCCTTTATTTTTTTCATATTTATTAGAATTTGGGACTTATTTTTTTTTAATGTACATAGACCAGCGAATTGGGAATTAAGGATCTTGAAATTTATGGCAAGGCACTTGACAATGCCATAATGCGATATCATTCGGTGAATATGGAAAAAATTAACAAGATCATTGCTGAATTATGGGTAAATACATATGTAGGTGATGGTATGTATAACTATCGACTTTAAATTACACATTATATTGTATTATTAATTTTCACTTTGTATTACAGATATTGATCGCATAGAGATAAGATCAGAACAAGAAACTACCAGAGCTAATCGATCCTACAATTATCGTGTAAGTGACAATGGTTCAGATAAAATATATTGATAATTAACCTAAATTATATATTAATAAGTAACCTAAATTATATATTTTATTGGTTAACAGGTCGTCATGATCAAAAATGGCAGGCCTATTGACATGCGTGGAAGATGCAGCGCTGGCCAAAAAATGTTAGCATCAATTATAATTAGATTGGCATTAGCAGAGACTTTTTGTATAAATTGTGGAGTTTTTGTTCTTGACGAACCTACCACAAATCTTGATGAAGGAAATATTATTAATTTGGCGGCTGGATTAAAAGGAATACTCGACTCTCGTCGTGGACAGACAAACTTTCAGCTAATTATCATCACTCATGATGTCGAGTTTTCAAGGATGATTGGGGAAGCGCAATATTCTGATAAGTACATCAAAGTTTCAAAGAAGCAGTAAGTGTATATAATTTATAATTTGATTTTTTATTTGTAAAGTTATTGAAGCACTTTACAACTAATTGTTTTTGTTATTTTGATACATGAATATTTTAGCGGATATAGCACTGTTAAGGAAAAAGATTGGCAAATGCCAGATTCAGATGCTGAGAATGATGATGACTAATCTGTTTGAGTTTTACAATCGGTACACTTTACTTCTAAATACGCGGTTGATTTGTAAAGTTTAAAAATAAAGATTGATATATTCTACCATAAGGCAGTGATATCAATTGAGATAAAGATACTGTTACTAGAATTGGAACATAGTTTGTCAAGTGACATTTGTGTGATACGTAACGAACGTGCATACCCTTTTCTTTTTCTTTATCTAATTCTCTGTAATGTCCTTGACATTGACATAGCTTACAAAACAAATGATTGAGATATTGCTGAAATTGCTAGAGTTAAACTAATGTTTTATACTTGCTGACAAAACCTACTGTAAAAATAGTTTGTACTTAAACTCTACATTCTGATAAACTAAATTTTTAAAATAAATTGGTGATGCCAAGGAAAATCTGTAACGAAACTTTTTAATTTTAATTTTCATTGTACAGGATCTTTGAAAAATTATGGTATTATATAATTTACAAATTCTGAATTTAAACCTGGGGTAGTAAAGATTTAGAGATTTTTCATATAATTATATTTAAGATAATTTTTTTAAAGAAATGTGTTAAAAATATAATTAAGGAATTATAATTTATTGTATAGTGTAATGTGTGTACATTTTTATAATTATCTGAAATCAAGTCACCATATGCATTTGAAAAGAGAAAGTTTGAAAGATTTGTTGTTAAAAATAAGTGAAATGAGAGCATTCCTATTTTTGTTAATAGAAATGATGGATGGGGGTTCTTTTTGTTATAAGGATTACAACAAAAATTTGATAAATTTTGCAGTTAAGCATGAAAGCATTGTTAGATGTTTGATTATTTTATGTTTTCTTATCTAGTTTTCATAAATGGGCAAGAAATTAATAAAATTATAACTTTCTAATGATATAAATGTTGGTTTTTAAAAAGCTTGAACATATTGAATTTGAATACTTTATTCAGATACGTATCTGGTGTTGATATTGTATAATATTATAGAGAATTGGATTTGAGAAATGTTGTTTGGAATATTTAACATAAGAATTTACTATAAACTTTGAGCTGAAGATTTATCTCAATTAATAAATTTCATACAATTATATAGAACAAAGGAAGAAAAATTTGACTTAAACCAAGTAAAATTTAGGGTTAGTTTTGATAATGAAAGTGTATAGGTGGATTTTGGCAGGGTTATATTTTTAAATCGGGTCCCTAATTTCCAGCATCAGCCGCGACAAGTAATATGATAAAAAAAATTAGTAACATAAGAAAGGATAGTACATAAAATCAAATGTACTGAATGTATTATATAACTAAATACAAAAATAAATCTTAGCGTATATAATTTAAAGAATTGATAAGTATCAGTCCCATCTGAAAGCTTTGATGTCCAAACGTTACTTCGTGTCGTTAATGCAAGCATCGTGTCCCTCGTCATTTAACTAACTATATAGAGAATTATAAGTATAATAGAGATCGAATAAAGGAATTTGATGATAATAACTTAGTTGTCATATTATGACGCTAATTCTAAATAACTCCCATCTGCGCGTTATTTCGAGTATTTGCATGGGCGCTACTTTGAGACAAAAATAAAATTTCATTTAAACCTTATCTTCAAAATAACGCCATGCTAATTGATAGTTCGTTTCTCTTGCCCAAGCTGAATTATAATTTAATTGGAGTATCTGATACTCTTATTAATTTCATATCATATATAATCTAACCCAGGAGATTGGATTTCCTTATCAAAATCAGCCGATATGTTGGGACGCGCATGGGTGTTATTTTGAAATCACGCATGCTATTTTCAAGGAACGCGATTTTCTAAATAACGCCCACGGGTGTTATTACGCGAAAATACGGTACATTAATTCTAACTCTTTGTTTGACTACGCTTTAAGCTTCCATTCACATAAATATTACATGTTTACAGTTTTTTATTATTACTTGCCAATTTTAATAACGTAAAATTTCATTACCTGTTACGTTTTTCTTCTCAAATATAAGATCATTACCAAAATTATTAGTCAATAAACTGCGTACCGATCGATACTGCGCATTAGCACTAGGGTAGGAGGCACGGGAAATTGTTTGGGCATACCCCTCTTATTGTGCTCTGGGCATGTACAAATGATAGCATCCGATTAAAATTTTATAAATATCATCACGTACTATATACCGATATGAAAATTAAAAAATTTAGTCTATCACTAGCATTGTTAATGGTTTGGTTTGGGCTATAAACCAGTAAAGTAAATCTAAAATCAAACCAAGCTGGTTTAATTATTCTTATACTCCAGTTTATATTCCAGTTTATACTCCAGTCTTGTACTTCAGTTTTGTATTCCAGTTTATACAGTCAAACCCCTCTATAGTCACACTCGTTATAAGCACATTATATAAAAAACCTCTTTATAAGCACACTTATTTAGAAACCAATTATATATAAACATTTTAAAAAAACCTCTTTATAAGCACATCTTAGTAAAAACCTTTTTATAAGCACACAAATATTTATCCCGAGGGGTGTGATTATAGAGAGGTTGGATAGTATTTCAGTTTATATTCCAGTTTATACTTTAGTTTATACTTCAAAACAATATTCTGGTTTATGCTTCAGTTTATATTTCAGAGCAATACTTTATTCAAGATAATTATAAAAATATAAAACCAAATTAATGCCAACATTATTTAATAATATTTAAAAAGATCTAATAATATAAATAACTTAACATTATTAAAAATGTAAAGGTAATTTTAATAATAAAAATAAAATAATTAAATCAAGATATTTTCATATTTTTATTAAATATAAAATGTTTCAATTTAGTTATTATTTAAATGTGTTAATAAATAAGTAAAAAAATTACAAGTTGTTATATAAACTAGTTTTATAAATTGGTTAATAAATTAGTTTAATAAATTAACAAACTAGTTTAATAAATTAGTTTAATAACAAATTAGTTTAATGGGAGGTGTGGTGATTTAGTGAAATGATCAGGTTGTCAACTTCTCAAATAGTAGGTTGGATATTCAAATTTCATTACCAATGAAAATTTGGATAATCACCTATGTAATATTCATATTATGGCAACTGTTACTAACAATTAAATTAGAATACTTGTAATGGTGATCATATTAGCATAACTGGCAGGTTATGGAACATTTATGTAACTAGTTATACAAAGAAATACAAATTGGCAAATCAGATAGTGCAAACACTAGATAATTCCTTGTGGTCATGTAAATCTATTTGAAATTGGATAACAAAAAGTCTATTTGGAAAGACTCAAATAGAAAGATAATCAGATTTTCAATGGTTCTATTATAAAAACTAGTTTAGAAAAATAGATACTCAAGTCATAGTATCTGGTCATAGTATTCAAATAGGCAAAAACCTTCAGATTGAGAGTTTCAGAAATATCAACAACCAGGCTACTAGAATAAACTAGAAGAAAAAAATATCAGATCAACCTGATATACCAATGAACTGGTCATAGTCCTATATAAACTATCTGAATTGGAAATCTGAATAAAAAACTAGACAAAAAGCAGAAATATACTAAAATACTAGAATTATATTATGAAATAGATACTGAGGTCTGTGTAAACTCTACAAGAACACAACAATTCAATTATTAGTTCTGACTGCAAGTGTTGGTTCTGCCATATCAATACCAAGTCAACTGTAAAAATGAATACAGAAGACTTTGAAAGATTTATCTTTAAGATAAAATAATCTTAAAATTGAGATAATAATCTGAATATATAAGTATGATTTAGTAAAATTAACAGATTTATGATTCAAAAGATTTAATATAAAATATCCAAGCAGAGGTGTTAGATATTGCAATTAGTAGAGAATTTTTAAATAAACTTCTTAAATAGGTAATATAAAAAAATTACATATATAACCAATTATACATTCTTTCTGTAGTGATTTACTGAACCATATTTATTATTATTAAATAAAAATTAAAAAACCAAAAAGATCATCTTAATACCAAAAAAAAACAAAAAACAAATTAGTTTATAAACTAATTTAATAATCAGTTTAATATTCTAATTTAATAAACCAATTTTTTTTTCTTCTCATTCTGTTATTCTGAAGGTCCTTAGACACCTTTAGGATCTGTCACATCTTTTTAAAGACCAGAATTATTATTCAGCAAAGATCATCAAATAGCATGTGACCCTATATTCATCACTGTACTCATGAAAATAACTTATGTTCTGTTAAGTTCATTATATTATATTCCAAGTCTCTGACTTCATGGTATAAGCCTACTATCTTTTTATTCAGTCCACAGTTCCCTAACTTCACATAATTCACCAGTCAGATCATCCTTTATATCTAATGTTCTTTAACTAGGTTTCCTCAATGTTAATATCATTTATTGACAGATTTGCCTTTTCTGATTGTTTCCAACTCTGTGACTATGCCAGCAGACTGTATTCTTATATATGAATCTTGTTCTTTTCTTTAATAGAAAATTCTCTAAAGATCTTTCAATTATGATCCTGATGAAGTTGTTGTCACCCAATAGGATTTGAACTTGCAACTTTGTGATTGTAACCTGGGAGCACTAACTACTATGCTATTGACCCACAGGTCATAAACCAATTTTTAATATTTCTGTTTAACAAACTAATTTATTATTTGGTTTAATTCAGTTTATTAAAGTTTAATTTACTTCAAGTTGAGTTAGAACCAAACTGGAGTCACTCTGAAGCAATATACTCAATTTAATAACCCTATTTATAACTTTTTAATGGTAAATAATGACTTGCTTGTTTTAGATGTCTAGAGTAAGTCACTTTACTTTTTTTTAATTATTTTAGCATAAATATAATTTATAACAATATTATATTAAAAAATTTCATGTTTTTAGTATGTATTAAATTGTTACCTGCAACAAAAATATCTTTTCTTTGAATAGTATACGATATGAAAGCAAATTTTTGTAGAGTCAACTTTCAACATAACTTTGTTATAATCATGTTTATAAATAGAATTGTCTTAAAATAATTGAAAAAGTAAATTGATTCTCTCTAGACATCTAAAAACATGTAATTCATTCTTTACTATTAAAAAAAAAATATATATATATATATATATATATATATATATATAGTGATAAAGAATCTGCTCACTGTCTTAATCACTATTTTGATCACTGAAGAACTTCAATATTACGTACTAATAAACATAGTTCAGTAACAATAACAATACACTGATTATACATGATTAATTACGTAACATCCGAATTCACAAGACTAAATGGGCTAAACTCGTCATGATAAAAACTTAAATATTCACTTCCACTGCAGCACTCATATAGTTTTGATTTACATAGTTGATCGAACACCCCGATGTGACAAGGGCACGCCCATGGCTCCCGTGCCTTCTACTCTGATTAACACTAACTTGTCTTAATGACTTGAGCCATACTTCACGTACGTTGTGCATGAGTAATTGTAAATTAAATGAAGAAAATAACCTTAAAAATCTGTAAATATATTACTTATTGTATAACTATAAGAATGTATATTATTTAAATAAAGATTATTAATAAATTGGCCAAAGTTTGGGATTTGGGCATGGACAACCGAACTATGAATTTTTTTCAACAAGTAGAACTATAAGTTGAGATAGATTAAAGGTGTATTTATATGTAAAATAAATGCTTAACATTTTTACTTAAGGCAACTACACCATTTTTCTAATAAAATTTCGAGATATTAACGATTTTTCTTATACCCGGGTATGTACCCACCGGCATAAATAGAAAATTTCAATTTTAAATAATCAAGTTTGATTTTTATAGTAAAATTTGTTTAATAAACTTGGAATTTTTTTTTATACGCATAGTAAGTGCCAAATTTCTATACATATATCGATATAAACTTTAAGCTACGTAAAATAAATTTGTAAAGAACCAAAAAAAAAACAAAAATTTACTCTAACAGAATTGTAGCTTAAACAAATTGAAACAAATATGTTAAAATAAGATTGCGATTACATTGTATATTTGAGTTAGAACGCTTTATAAATCATAAAATATTGGAATTTTTTGCTGTACTAATTATAGATAAATAGAACAATAGAAAAAAATAATAGAACTACAGAACTAGAATAGAATATAATTTTTATCAATAGAACAAAAAATTGGCAACACTGAATATAACTGTTTATCGCTATTGATATCTAATACTCCGCAAAATCAATTTTGAATTGAATCAAATATTTGAAATTATTTTAAATTCGAATCAAATATTTCACAAGCAAGTTCAAGTCTTATGAGAAACTGGCGATATATCGCCATGGTAATGAATTACAAGGCATTATTCTAAAATGAATTTTTATAACTCACGCGAGGTACGCCACTACGCATTTCATTTCAATACTTTCGTCTAATTCATGCTGATTTTCTTTTAGACCTATGTTTTATAATGTTTATATATTATATATTAAACCTTTTAAATAAAATAATATATAAATTTTTATTTTGATTTCGTTGACTATAATTCTCAACGCAGTCTCAACAAATATTAATAAAATATTTGTTTATGAATTATAATTTGCGTTAGTTTTTTAATTCAGCCAATATATTCTTAACTTTTTTTTTTTATTAGTGTCTTACTGTATATTCTGTATATTCGGAACGTGTCTTTATGTTTTTTTTTTGCTAAGATCTGTTGGTTGACAAGAAAAAGTCTTTATCATAAATTTGCGTACAGACTAAACACACCAAACATACTAGCCATTCATTCAAGCGAAAACTTAATATTGTAGTACCGTTCAGAATACTATTTCTATGTATTAAAAAGTATGTATATATCATTTAATATATAAAACACCCCAAAATCAAAAGTTTAGCCGAATCGAAAACTTATCGAATCGGTCAATTTTTTTACTAGATGTCTCAGAATTTATGAAATGACTATAAACTTAAAAAATTTTTTCGAAATTTCGTTACGAAAAACAATTAATTAATATTGCATGACTTTATTGTAGGGGTGTTCCAATAGTATACTCCATCCTTCGTGCGCAAAATAATGAAATAAATGAAGATATAAATGAAAATAAATAAATACAAAATTTGACTTTATAATATAAATTATTATTGTGTTATTACTATTACTATTGTTATTAATGTCATCGGTATTGTGTATTAATGTAGAGATGTTAATCAACTCAACCTGCCCTGCTTATAAATTTATCATAATAAAATAGAGCCGAACAAGCCGATTAACATCCTAATTTGGGATAACTTCAACTAAGCAATTGTCCAACTATCATATGTCCACCTGAAGCACAACCTTGTACACATTTATGGCAACGATTCTGCTACATAATAAAGAAATCTCCCATGTTGGTTTCGTGCGATCTAATTAAAATTAATAGAATGTAAGAATAGCAATCAATATCATATTCAATACATAATCTTCATTTCATGACTTACGCGCTAAGTTGCGGTTTCTGTGTGTATTTTAATGCAAGGATTTCTCTGATATTATTCAACAGTTCTTGATACGTTTGATTCTTTTTGTCTCTTAATCTATTAATATGATTCATCATTAGATACATCTGCATTATTATATTTAATAAAATTTATAACAAGTTAATATTATAAATACATACGTTTTAATAAAAGCATGAGACATCGCTCCTGTAGACATTTCTGCATCCTTAACATCTGCAGATGTCTGGGCATCTTTACACCTAAATATTAAATGATTCAAATACATAAATACTAGTGAGAAGTAAAAATAATGTTAAAAAGATAACAATTCGGACACTTACCCACTAAACATGATAACGTCGGCAGGACTAGATTTGGTTTGTTTAATTTTCTCTGCTATGTCATACCCATGCATAGCTTTTACGGTAAAAGATTTAAAAGATGCTTTTATACCTGCTGCATCACCTCGCATATATGATAATCCGGCATCCATAACTGCATTTGCTCCTGCACAAAAAAGGTTTAATTTTTTTTCTTGTCCATCTGTAGCATATATATATGGTAAATCAAGTGCAGTCCCAGAATGACATGAATCAAAAATGGCCGTTAATCTTACACCTATAAAATAAAATTGCAAAGCATAAAAAAAATGGTATTCAGAAACAAAAAATGGTTAAAGGCAAAAAATATATTACCCTTCGGAAGTGGACGAACCATTATTTCATGCATTTTCTAGTATACATAAAAAATTGAATATATTGCAAGTTAAAAATTAGAACAAGATAAAACAAAAACTTACATCATCAAGTATTTGTCCTTTTTCTTGAAAATCAACTGGCATAATGGTCTCGTCATATCCATCTACTTCGTCGCCATCTTGATCTGGTTCTTGTCCTCCATGTCCGCTATAATGGAAAAAGAGCCTTGACAAGAAAAAATTTACCACTATTTTAGTATATTCAAGAAATATATTTAGAATTTTTGATAAACTTACGAATCATTCGGCTGAGCATCTTGTACTAGCCATTTCATTGCCTTCAGGATATTTGCTCTGGTAGGTCTCTTTGCTGGATCTTTTGTGTCATCTGTTAAAATCAACATATCTTGTTCTCGAAACTCATATAATTCAATCAAAAATTTTTTTATATTTTTAACATCATTTATACACCCTATTTTTTTTTTATTGTTATTTTATTATTTAAATTTTTTTTGTTGTTATTAAAAAAAAAAAAAAGATCAGTCGGATCAAATTAATTCGTCAGAAATTACTTGCATACAAAATTTCGACTGAACGATTAAATTATTTGTACCCTTCAATTCAAATTTTGTATTGAAATAGTTGATTCCGATTAATAAAGCCTTTCTGCGTTTTGAAACGTTCGATACTTGTTGGTTTGAGTAAGTAGGTGGTTGTTGATACTCATAACTAGAGTGAGATGATTGAGAGGATGAAGGATTATCGTCATCATCGAGTCTAAGACTGCTTTTACAAGCCTTTGTTATAATACATCGTTCTGAAGTTTGATCTGTAGTTCCGTTATCAGCCATGTGTTTTGTTTGTAAAGAAAAAAATAGCAGTGGTAAATAAATGCGTATGTTTTACAAATTTTGTTTATATATATAGTGCTATATTTAGTACACATATATTTAGTAATTCATATGAAATGGGGGTACATGCATATTTTCTCAGATGTCTCTTTTTCGACTACCCCCAATATCGATATTAATATGGATCAGTAAAAGACCAATTTTAAAAATTGTTTTCATACTTATTAAATATAGTAGTATAATATAAACATAATATGCAACAGTCTCCTACAACACAACCTGGTCCTTCTACTGTACCACAGTTTGTTGTGATTCACGACCAAATGCAACAGTCATGGAAACATCCAGTCGTACATTATGTTTTTGAAGACGAGCCTTTCCCTTCAAATACGCCCAAAGAAAGGTGCATTTTAGTAAACCTTAAAGAAGATGGTGAAAGTGTGGCCGATTGTTACTCTTTTAGTCATACTTTTCAAGTATCAAATTATAAAATCAGTTCAACACCGCAGATGAACACGACGGGTCCTGGCGGCAAAGAATCTTCTACAAGTACTAGTCTAATGTTAACGATTGAAGGAATGTCTGCAAAGTAAGATTTTTATTCTCAAAAAGAATTAACATTTTATTTTAGTTTTATTAATTTGTTAAACTTATAAAAAGAAATTCCACGGTAAATAATGAAAATCAAATTGGTTACAAAGAAGAATTTGATCAATCATCAAACGTGTTTGGATTAGATGAATTGGTACATGACTACAAACGAAGGTAATATATTTAAACTTTGATTAAAGGTATTTGTTTAATGTACGAATGAATATAAATAATTCTTATATATTCAATTATTTACAATTTAGAAATGAACTAATGAGGCAATTATTCACCTAATTGTGATCAAAAAAAACAAACTATAAGGATAATTCATTGGAATGAATATAATGTTAATGCACATATGCAATTAATATTAACCAATCAAATGGCTATACAATAAATATATAAATAAAATTTGTAACTATAGAATCAAATTGAAGAATCTTGAGATTACGAATCACAGATATTACTATATCTCTCGGTTTTATGAAGAGATTTCCAGTGGTCTTGAGTATTAGATATCTATGTAAATAGAGGTAGTAGAGTTGAAGGCACAGGAAAATATTTGGACCGAGACATGTCCTCTTATTGCCCATAGATAGCTCGGGTTTTATTTTATGTTCCTGTTATTTTTATTAAATCTAATGAATTTATACGAAAAGATGACTAAGAAGAGATAGAAAAGTTTTAGGATGGGAGTGGCGAAATTTGCCTTTTTATGTGGAATGTAATTTTATATAAGTTTCAATAAAGACTTTCTCTATGACTTATAGAATGGTTTAGGTTGGTATTCTTGTTGTTACATTGTGTTAAATAGTTGTGTTTGAATGTTTTTAGGGGCTGTTCAATTCTTAAAAGCTGTTGAATGTGTTATTTAATAAGTGATAGTTCAGTAACGATATTATTTTGTTTTTTGATGCTGTCAAACCTAATAGGATTTTTGTGTTAGTTGAGTATATATATATAAGAACAAAAATATTTTTTTTGTAAAGATGAAATTTAAAATTAAATTTGAAAATGAAAATTATTTTAACTTACTTTTACTTAAAAGATGAATTTTTTGATGTTTTTTTTGAATAAATAAAATTATAAGAAATACAAATATATAAATTAAATTTGCTCTTTATTATAAAAAATTTTAATTTGTTTTAATCAAAATGAAATAGGTCTTTTTTTGAAAATCTATTTTTATAATATGTATAGTTGAATATACTATTGATCATAGATGTCGAATTATTTTAAAGTTTAGTGATCTTTTAACTATATTATTATTAATTTGTTGTTATAATTTTAATATTTTTTAGATTTTAAACATAGTAAATGTTTTCTATTCAATATTAGTTGCAGTTATCTAGTTAAATAAAAGGTTAAAATTATAAGACAGTACAGATATATTGAGATAATAAAGAAAATTAAACTGATTAATGTTTTAATTATAACAAGTAAGATAATAGAAGTTAGTAACATGAAATACTTCTTCACATCACTTTTAAAATAAATTAGATTTTTAAAATATATAAGTTTTTAGAAGGTGTTTGGAAAGTTGAAGAATAAAGTGTTAACAAAATTGGATTTTAAGAGAAGTACAGACTTTTTTTTTATCAATATTTTAAGAAAATTGTTTACTATAAGGTGGATAGTAGGTTTCAAATCAGAAATTAAAGTAATCAAGAGAATTTTTAAGTAAAGGAATACAAAATCTTTTAAGAAAAAGGATTTTAGAGATATTAAAGAAAAGTTTGATATTGAATCTGACATCTAACTGAATAGTGAGATATTTTTATTTAAGATTTGTAGTTTGAGTAAAGGATTCAATTTTAAACTTTTAGTTTAAGATGTAGGTCTTTAGCAAATTTTTGATAGTTAATAGATGGTAGTTGTTGGATAAAAAGAGATAAAGATATGTGAAATTGAGACAGAGTTGAAGATGATTATAAGCTATATATAGTAGAATAATAACTAATAAAATAAAGATTTCAAGATAATTAAGTTTAGTGAAGAGAATAGTGTTAAATTTGAGAATAATTTTTTTTTAAGATAGATTCAAAAAGATCAAAATGAATAGTAGCACTTTTGTCAATATTAGAGTTACTATTATAAATAAGATCAGTTAAAAATTTAGACTATTATTTAGTTATAATACAAATAATATACTAAAATAAGGCTTTGAGTACAAGTTGAATAACAGTAGCTAGCTTAATTTCTTTATCAAAATAGAAATTATAGAGAAATTTTTTTAAAAAAATAAAAAATTGAAGAGAGAATAAAATTTGTAATTTTTTATTAGATTGCATTTCTTTAATAATAAGAAAATTTACAACTCAGTCATATATAAAATTAAATTTTGGTTTAAAAATATTAGAATAAGATTGGGAAGAAGGTTTGTTAAAAATATTTTCAGATTGGTTAGTATTATTAAACTTGTTAAAGTTTAGATTAAAAATGTTAAGAGTATTAGAAATAAGAGATTGGTTAGAGATAGAATTAGTATTAATAATTATAAAAAAGAAAGAATCAATAAGGTCAGAAGTAATTAAGATTTGGTATAAAGAAATAATAAGAGAATTAATGGTTTGAAAAGATTTATATAAGATGTTTTGAAAGATTTGAGTAAAATTTTTTTGATTTAAGAAAAGCTAGCTTTATATTGAGATAAAACAGTCATGCAAATAAGATGATAAACTTTATTGTTTTTGGTAACATATTTTTCAGTAGAATAATAGTGCTCATTTCTCTTAGTATAACCAATTGGAAAAGAGCATTTAAAACAAGTATAATAGTGTACATCAGATGTAGAAAATAGAGGAATACTGTTAGTTAAAAAGGAGAGATTAGTTATAAGTTGTTGAACTAGTTTGTTAAGATTCTTTTTTGCATTGCTATTGATATGAATTATAATAAATTCAGTAGCTTGAGTATAGTTAGAATTGGTAATAGAGATAAATTTGATATAATATTTGTTACAAAGATAATTAATCACAGAGCTGGAGGTAAGAACTTGAAAAAAATAAGTAATTTGTTAGATTAAAGGTTTTTAGTTAAACAGGAAGTTGGTTTAATTTTAGAAGAGACAAAATGAGCATTATTGTTATTTTTCTCTTTATAGAGAGCAATTCCAAAACTATTAGAAAAGTTTTGATAGAAATAGTCAAGGTTTGTAGTATTAGGTTCTTGTTTGGTTAATGTAAATATTTGTAAATTTTGATAAGTTGAATAAGAATAATACTAAAAACTTAGAAAAATTTTCAACTTAAAAGTTTAGTTGATTAATTAATTTTGTAATAATAGTAAATAGAAACAAGAGTTGTATGTTTGGGATATTATAGAAGTAACATTTAAGTGTAACTGAGATAGCTAAGGTTACAAATATAACTTAGATACTGGTATAAATAAGATTTGCTATACAAATTACTATATACAATTAATAAAAACTAAATATAGAAATGACTAGTTTGTGTTAAGTAAATTTCTATTAATAGATAGGTTATAGATTTTTAATATAAATTAATAAAGTATAAATTAGAAAATAATAATATAGTTATATGAAAACCATATAAGAGAAAAAGAGAATAGGGTAAGGACAAAAGATAAGAAAAAATTTTTGCAAGAAAGTAATAAATAAATTTAGCTATATTTTAGCCAATATTAGATTAAAATTCTTCTTTTAGAGCTTATTTTGATTAAGCAAATATGTGTTACAACTTTAATTAAAAATATAATATAAATTATTATAATAGGAACTATAAGAAGATTGAATTTTTAAAACTGAAGACCAAAGGACATCAGTACAGTTTTTTCTGTGAATTTAAGAGATAGATTTATAATATTTTTAAAATATATATAAATTGATGAGTTAAATAATTTTACTTAAAACACTAGAACAGATTATTTTAGTAAAATAAAAGGATATAAGTGTTTTTAGATGAGTGGTTTTTTTAGTTAATTTTTATGTAATAGATTTGCAAAAAGAGTTTATTTTAAATAGATTCTAACTATAATATATAACTATATTAATATTGTAAATTTGAGGACCAATTCTGTAACTTTCTTTATAGATAATTTGTACCAAATTTTGCTAAAAAATATTTAATTATTTCTCAAAATCTTACTAAATAAACCTTACTTGTACTCTTAAGTAAAGTTGTTAAGCTAAAAAAAAAATTCTCTCTGCTGATCTATATTTTTATAAGAAAGCAAAATCAAAATTATAAAGAAAAGTAGAAAACTAGATTAAGAACAATACTTTGAACAACTAAAAAATAATTACAAGAAGAAAAAAAGAAATAGACTTAGTTAGAACAACAACTTAAAAAAAATAAAAGCACAACAGAAAATTTTGGACTCTTGTAAAATTGAGATGAAAATTTTGAAAAATTTGTGAATTTGACTTAGACCCTAAATAATAATAAATAGACATGTGATATGTATTAACAATTATTAATAAACAAAGTACATAAAGCAAACATGTCCTATTTAGGAAATATAAACATATTAGCAAAATTAACAACAAACAAACTATAGAGAATTCTAAAAATAGTAAACATCAATAGAATAGTCTAGAAACAGATGTACAACTCATAATAGAAATGCTCTATGATCAATTTTTAATTCAACATATGCAAGAACAGGTGATATAGTATATAGATATTTAAATAGTTGTAAGTTGGATCAAGTACTAAGAACAACTATGTACAAGAACCCAAGCGATATTGAAATTATAACTAAAGGTCTAGTAATTAATGACCTAAAAAATATTACAACAAAAGACTTAACACTATATGGCCAAATACTTGAAGCTCTTAAAATTGAAACAGAAGTAATGATAACTTTACCAAAAAAATTTATTAAAGATTAGGTCAACAAAATAAAAATGGCAAATTTTAACCCAGCATCAGTTGAATATACAGTAGATATGAGCAAAAAGAAAATACAAAAAGAAAAAAAAAAATAGAAGAAATGGAAAAAAATCAAAATAAAATAGAGAATCTTAACAATAACATGCTCTCAAAGAAAAGACATCAAGCAATTAATAATAAAACAGAATTAAGTACAGATGTTGAAGTTATAACAAATTGAATTAAAAAACTTAATATAAAATAGCAACACCAAGAAGCAGAAACAAACTACTTTACAGAAATAAGAATGAAAGTTGAAAAAGAGAAGGTCAAGGAAAATATACTA